GTTCTTGAAGGTCATGAAAAGAGCATTTTAGACAGGTTAGCGTTTTAAAAACACACAAATGCAGACAAGCATTTGGGAAAATTCTTTATACCATAAATTTTTTAAATAGTGAAAAGAAAGCCTGCAGGTGTAAGAGGTGTTGACCTTTGGACTGAATTATTTATTTCAATTTTTTGGCACAGTCTTTTTAAACTTTGTATTTTGGACTGTTGGCTCGTGGCAACTTTATTGGACAGGCATTACCGAAAATAATGAGTGTTACGAATAGTCACTAAATAAGAGTTACTTTGAGCTTGAAACATAAACTTAATTTTGCACATTATTCTTTGTAGGAGATCACAGATTATACAGCATTAGAAATGAGAGCAGTTAACTAATAAAAGGTTGGACTGGGATCACAAAAACTGCTTGTGAAAAGAACTGTCAGTGTCGTGAAGCATTGGTTGCGTTCACGACTTTATTTTTTTAAACTTTTTAGAAACTGAGTTGTAGAAGAGCAAAATTGTGTATTTGGTTCATTTGAAGTCGTGAATCTAAAGTTACATTGACGTTTAGACCCTTATTCTGCCTTGCTTTGGCTCTCATTTTTTAATTTTTTAATTTTGGTTCAAACCTTTAATTTTTTTTTATTAGCAGTTTAAATAATGCAACTTTTTTGTAAGAAACCATTGCTGTTGAATAATAGATTAATTGACACTGTTTTTATCGCTTTTATTGTGCCGGTCTTCCGCATGCTAACTTGGCCTGTACATTGGTTGAAGATGTTGAGTTTTGACCAACAGAAATTTACGAATTTCTAGACTGCTGTTCTGCGGTAGCCTTGCTTAAAGTAAAGGAAGTGCAAATGTACTGTTAGTAATGATAAGCCTCTTATCATTGATTTATTTTTTAAAGCTTCGGTGTTTTGATTGATTGGCTTAGACCGGAAGTTACTTTTTTCTGTTGGAACACTGAATACAAGCTAGCGAAGTTACAGTGGTGATTGGCGGAACTGCTAGGTTTTTTTTCATTTTTCTGCCGTGAAGGGTTTTTATGCATCTTTATGCATTTAGCGACAGGTGTTTTTTTTGATGAAATTTTGCTTGGAGAGTTGCTGTTGAAAAGCTAAAACCCAGTAATTGGTAACTAGAGGTGTAGGAGAAGGTTGTCACTTCTGAATGTAGTTTGAAGACTTTGGATAAACTGCTTAAAGACTGGTAGGAAATTGCACTCTGTAGAGAAATAAACAAAAAAAAAAAAAA